ATATGGGCTTAAAGGCATTGTTGAAATCCACCTTATAATATGCTTGGCTATAGATGATGTTGAACATCTATTTCCGGGTTCAATTGTGTCTGGTGATTTCATTTGTTGTTGTGTTTATCAATTTACATGTATGTGTGGAGACACGTACATAGGGAGGACCCATCGGTCTCTGCAGGTTAATAAATGTCCAACATCATCTATAGCCAAGCATATTATAGAGACGGGTCATAAGGTGGATTTCAACAATGCCTTTAAGCCCATATATAAAACAAGATTGGGCCACATACTTAAATTCATTGAAACCTGCCTTGGTAATCCAATTTAGAACCAAGGACCAATTTACTTCCTTATATTTTCAACCCCTTGTTTGCCTTGTTTTTTCTCCTTTTATCTTTCTTACCCACAACTTTGCGTCATCTCCCTAACCATTATTTGTGACCTCAAACTGTATACAATCTGACCTGTATTGTAATTATTCATGCCTTCTTGCATTCTATAAAAACTGTATATGACAAGTACGTGTGTGATCAGAATGTCTGAAATGTGTTGCGCCAATACATTACACGTTTCAGATAAACTACGTCTTCTTATTGTGTTGTCGAAATTCATAAAGGGAACTAATTACTTTAAATATGTGTTGATTTTCTTCAATAAACGATCTGTTGCCTGGCCCTTGTCTTCTATTGTTACAGTAGTAGCAGTTAGCAGTAGAATTCGACGCACACTTTTCGTCCATTTTGAGTAGAGTCCATTAGATGTTAAAATAAAATAATCATAATAATAATAATAATATTAGGTGGACCAAATAAACCAGAATTGCTTGAATTCTCCCTTTAGTGGGAAAATTACAAGATGTACTTTTAAAACTGTTTTCTGAAGAAAGAAAAATGAACAAACACACTCACAAAGGAACAAACAATATACGTGTACTTTCCCAATCGTAATTTCTCTGTTCTTTTACAGATTAGATAAAAGTGACCGGTATAAAATGAGAACAGGAATAATTTCATCTCATGTGACAGAAGGAGGGAGAGAAAGAGAGAGAGAAATGGACGCAGAAAGCTAGAGAAAGAACTGATTCACCTCGCCTAACGGCAATAGATACATATGAAGATAATAAAAATCATTGGTTATGGAAATAAAACTAACCCTCTCCTAAAATAATAATAATAATATTAATGTTATTGTTTTGACTCAGGACAAGCTAAAGAAGAAGCATATATTATTTTATGACCAGTTTATTTCTGTATTACACTGATTATTCTTCCTCCTCAGTGTGTTAAAAGATGTCCTGAAATATCTAGTTTCGCATATGCCAGTTTACGTCGTCTCTGGCTTAGCAGACGTGATATCCGACTGGCTATCGACCAAAGGGCGGGTGTACTGCTCATCAGTCCGCTCCGTCCTCCTTTATAGCCAACTGTGAGACATGCTGGCCATTGAGAGTGGAAAACATTAAAAGATTAGCTGTCTTCGATCATAGGTGTCTGCGTTCTATCTCCCGCGTGAAGTTGTACAATAAGGTGAGCAATAGTGAGGTTAGGCGTTGAGTTCTAGGTAAGGAGGGGAAATCAATCGACGAGGCTGTGAAATTACATCGACTGAGATGGTTAGGACATGTGTGACGTATGCCCAGTCATCGCCTTCCTCGACGGGCAATGTAAGCCGATATGGGGTCAGGCTGGGAAACAGGCAGTAGTGGTCAAACCAAAACATGGCTTCATCAGTCAATGAAATCCATAACAGTTAGTCTATGCCACGCAGGAAGGTATAGACTTCCTGACTGACTGGGTGGGGTCCTCGGGAAGGTAAAAACCAATGGTTGGAAACAATTGGTGACAGGCGTTTAGTACTAAAAATGTAAGCTCGAACAAAACTGAATTTGAAGAATTTTAGTCCAGCATATCTAACCAATTTTATATTCATCGCAAGCACATATTGTAGCGGTAACTTTCGGCATTTACGTCGAGGGATCAATTGTAAAATAATCACCAACCACTCATGTCGTTCGGGTTGTATTCGAGGATAATGCATTCCTAAACAAACAACAAGCAGCTTTTACAGACCTTCCATCGCATCGTTCATTCTCTTCTGTGTTCAAATTAATTTTTACAATTGCTAGTAAAAAAACAGTTATTTTTGAAAGTGTACATGTATCGTGGAAGAACTACTTTCTAGATTGTATCTATAAATCGTTGTTTTCTCACTGAGACTTAAAACCAGAAGTCACTATTTTAAAATTCAAAGCTATATAAACTAAGCTGTTTGCTAAATCAAAAGAGTCATCCCTCGCATGTGTTACACATAATTATTATTACATAAGGATTAAGTAGAACATAACGCGCTTCAACAATACATCTCCATTCCATCCTGTTCTATGTAGTTGTCTCTGGCCAGCTCCATGATACCTAAGAAGCTTTCATTTCCTTCTCACATGACCTCCTCCATGTCACCCTTGGATCAACGCATAATTCAGCGTTCCCATATTCGGGTTCCGTTCGACTATTTGCCTCGAGCGCTATGTTAATCAGCGATCTCCACAGCTTATGCCCAATCCATCTTAGCATTCTTCGGCATGTTGGCTAAACAATCAGTTCTTTGGTTACAGGATTTCATCATGAGCTGACATTAGTTAGAGAACCATTGGAAAACCAGCCGCATGGAGTACTGGACAGCTGTTTCGTTTTAGTTTGGGAGCCTCCAGCAGCAGTACGCACCCACCGGGGCTCGAACCCAGTACCTTCTGATTACAAGGTGAGCTAGTAAACCACTAAGCCACTGGGACCCGATTCAATGGTTTTCCAGTGGTTCTCTAACACTGATGTCAGCTCATGATGAAATCCTGTAACCAATCAATCAAATCCCAACAAATCAATACTTGAAATTCAGTTCTTTGTTGATTCGTTCCCGGAATTATTTATTATTTATTTATTTATTTTATTTATTTATTTATTATAGCTTGATTCCACACCGTAATTTTGGTACAAGTATGGGATTTTCAGCATGTGATATCGGTAGCCCAATTTTGCAGGCCGACCATAGATATCGGGTAAGCGCCGGCAGGGGATCGAACCCCGGACCATGTGCATGGTCGGCGAGAGTCCTAACCACTGTGCCACCGACGCACACACTTGTTGCTAATCTCGTCTACCTTGGCACCTGATCAGCAGTATGCAGCAAAGTGGACAACTGTTAATGAAAGTCTACGGTAGTCTTATGAAGTGTTTGCAGTGATGCTTAAAGTGTTTGGACCAATAAACAAGAACTGAAGGCAGAAACACTATCAGTGAATGAGGCGCACGCACATAGATCCGATCCGATGGGTCCTGTATACAGTGAAACACGTGTATCCACGGCTCTACTTTTAGCTACCACTTATAAAAGCGACACCAAAGTTGAAATGAAACGCATCGTCATCCAATCACTTGTGTTAAAAGCCTAAATACCAACATAAATTAATCATTTAGATAAATATAAATAAAATACAAACAGTTATTTAAAGAAGGCAAAGTACCTGAAGATTGGAAGAAAGGATACTTATTCAAACTACCAAAGAAAGGAGACTTAAGTCAATGCAAGAACTGGCGCGGAATTATGCTCCTGTCCATCCCAAGCAGAATACTAAGCCGCATCATCTTGGAGAGAATCAAACATGCCCTCGATGAAAAACTTCGACCGGAACAGGCTGGATTCAGGAGAAACAAGTCATGCATTGATCAGATCGCCACACTACGGATCATCATTGAACAAAGCCTGGAATGACAGTCACCTCTCTATCTCAACTTCATCGACTTTGAAAAGGCCTTCGACAGGCAGCGTCGATCGAGAGGTGATTTGGAAACTACTTCGCTACTACGGGGTGCCACCAACAATTATACATCTTATCCAACAGTTGTGCGACAATGCTGCATGCCAAGTAATCCACAACGGGAAACTCACGGAACCCTTCAAAGTGAGGACAGGAGTAAGACAAGCTGGCTGCCTACTACCGCCAATGGTTTTCCTGATTGCGGTTGACTGGATAATGCAACAGACAATGGGCGGCTAGGAAACAGACACAAAGTGGACCCACACAAGAACTTGGAGGATCTGGACTTCGCCGATGATAATGTCTGATTTCCCACAAACTGGAAGACATGCAAGCGAAAAGTAACAAGTTGGCGGAAGAAGCATCAAAGATAGGAATTCAGGTGAACATAGATAAAACAGAGATGATGAAAATTCCTGGGCAACACCACCAACAGCAACAATAACTGACAACAATCAGCATAAATGGAAGGAACCTGAAAGAAACAACCCCATTCACATACCTACCTTGGAAGCATCGTTTCAACTACAGGCTGACGGAACTGATGAGGATATCAAAGCAGCGAGGATTGGGAAAACAAGACAAGCTTTTCTTACTTTCAAGTCTGTGTGAAGATCAACAGCACTCAGCATGAAAATGAAAATAAAATCCGGATTTTCAACTCCAATGCGAAGTCAGTGCTACTATACGGATCAGAGACTTGGCCAGCGCGTCATAAAGAGCATCTCAAACAAACTACAGACCTTCATTCAACAGCTCTCTTCGCTCAATACTCAAGATCAGATGGCCGGCCAGAAAAGATCAGCAACAGGGATCTCTGGCAATGAGCGAACCAACCAGGAACCGATTGTGCAACAAATAAGCAGCAAGAAATGGAGGTGGATTGACGATACTCTGAGGAAACCACCAAGTGAGTGACATCACTAGACAAGCCATCGTCCGAGTGGAACCTGGCCGAAAGGGAAGCGGTGAGTTGGTCGTCATTGCAAGGGTGACTTGGAGGAGGTCATGTGAAGAGGATATGAAAACGTGTGGGCAGACATGGAGCCAGGTGAAGACTCTAGCAGAGAACAGAACGCAATAGAGACGCACGGCTGAAGCCCTATGTTCCTGTAGGAACTAAAGGATACCATAATAATAATAATAATAATAAATACAAACAGTAAGATGCATAAAGTATAAATTCACTTACTAGGCGATTGCAGTCCTTGTGAAAATCTGGCTGAATTTCTTTTATCCACCACAGGACTTAAATTCACCGCAGCATTCACTGAACCGCCAACATCACCACCACCAATGGAGGCCGATTGTTTCAGCGGAGTCTCATTTGTAAAATTATTATTATTATTATTGAGATATCCATCTTGATTTAAATTCGGATAAAGAGGAGGACGCTTTCCAACATCTGCTGAATCATTTGACTCTCCAGGATAGCTAGGTGGTGGTGGTTTACTCTGTGATGGACTTTTATACACAAAAGATGAAGGACGTTGATAATCTGGTAGAACTGTACTCGGAAAGTGCATCGGACCACTACTACTGATAATACTTGGACGTGGTTGACCAGGTTGTATCATGACATCTGGATCATACATTTTAGTGTGTCTTTGACTCAAGTAGAAATGCCGCAGACGAATACACCAGTAGACAACGACAACTGATATATTGATTGGAAAGGAGAAAAACAGACAAAAACAAATAAAAATATGCATGAAAATGAAGTGAAATGCAATGAGGGGAAAAAATTATGCTTTAACAGGTTTGATCACGACCTGATATCAGTGTCAGAGGAGTATTGGAAAAACAGGGAATACTGGGCAGCCCCAGATGTCTCATTCTCGTTGTTTGGGACTCCTCGGCAGTGCGCATCCACCACCTGGGTTCGAACTCAGTGCCACAAAATGAGAACGTAGACAATTCAGCCACTGAAACTTGATCCAATGGGCCATGAATTCTAGTTTCTGCCAAATTGCTATATATGTAGCTGAACTTCCAACCAATGCCACTGGTAAGTAACTGTCCGCTTACCTAACTTGGATGACCCCTTTGGTCGAAACTGTAACCAATGAAAGCCGTGCAAACTAAGACTTGTAGATAACATTGTTAACAGTTAGCCAGCGGTGGTACCCAGTGTTAGAATCTTTGTCAGCCACACCACACGTGATTTCGGCTGACTCAAACCAGAACTTCGCTTAACCGGTAGTAAGCGCAATAAAGAAAGAAAGATGCTTGTAAGTCTGGCTAGCAACCCCAACATCGAAAACGAAACCAACAAGTTTGGAGCCCTGTATTACACTTGAAATGCAAAGGAATGAAAGAAAAAGACTGGATTCCATTGTGGATAAGATTTTATATTGATAAAGTCACACATACAGTGTTGTACAGTAATATTAACTGATAACCACATTTCGAGCACAAACTATTGCCACTCATAATCATATTAAGGCATCACTCACACAACTTTATTTTCCTTCATTTATATACATGTGTGGAATTGACTAGATATTTGAATAAAAATCAATATGGAATAATGTACATTCAGTTCTCGCGAGAAGTCACGACCAGTGAGGTCCATCCAGATGACAAGTGTGAGCATGGATGTCCCACCTACGACAATGGTTGGGGTCACGCTATATCACGAATTGGTAGAAGTTAGAATTCATGAGCCATTGAATCGGGTTCCAGCAGTGGCTGAATGGTATACGAGCTTGTCTTGTAACAGGAAAGTCCTGGGTTGGAACCCCAGTGGGTGCGTACTGCCGATGATTCCCAAACTAGGATGAAACAGCTGGCTGTCCAGTACTCCCTGTGGCTGGTTTTCAATGGTTCTCTACTTGATATCAATCCGTGATCAACTCGGAAAAAAAAAATAATATGAGTGTTATTGATCAATTACAATCAGATGGGAAATAAGATGAGTGTTTTTAAAGTCATAATAGGTAACTTGTTAGAATGTTGTGATGTACTTGAATTGAAATAGAATTTTGAGATTATTCATTATCCAGCGAAGAGACTCTTTTCAACGAATTTATTATCAAACTGTACAATTTTATATATATGGTTTATTTTATAAGAAATTATATCCAATGAGGGAATTAGGTCAAATGTGTGAATACATGAAATAATAATAGTAGTAGTATGAAATGCAATTGAAATATTTGTGATTATAATCATAGTTTAATGTCAAGTGGCAAAATAATTAATGTCATACATAGAATAATACATACGGTGTATTGATTTTGGAAAGGGGTATATAATTATAGGATTAGTAAAAACCATATGTATTTACGACTGTACAGCTTGATAATAAATTCGTTGAAAAGAGTCTCTTCGCTGAATATTGTATTCTTAATGCTACAATGGTAATTATTAAATTATTTATTATCCTCTTCTGATTTGACTGACTGGTGGTAATAATATCTTCCATACATATCTCTCGTATTTGCGTTGAGTCACTTCTATCTCATGGGTTGGGTGTAGACTCGATGAACAAGGATTCAGTAATCAATCTCTCTCTCCACCTACCTATGTGACTTTTTAGAATTTTAACTCTGTCCCAACCCGAACGGGGAACGATAGGTGGGGCGTGAGTCCGAGGGTTACATGGAGTGGCACAGCGGTTAGGACTGTCGCCGACCATGCAAATGGCTCAGGGTTCGATCCCCTGTTGACGCACATCTGGTATCTATGATCGGTCTGCAAAATTTGGGCTACCGATATCGCATGCTGAAAATTCGATACTTCTACCAAAAATACTGAGTGGTTACAAGCTATAATCAAAATAAATAAATACATCATGGGTGCAGCTAAATGGGACCGCGTAAAATAGGATAAAGTGAAGACGTGCAGGTCGGTGAGTACTGCCGATGATTATTCCCAAACTAGGATGAAACAGTTAGCTGTCCAGTACTCCCTGGTGATTTTCAACGGATATCAATCCGTGATCAAAACTTGAGGTTAAATCGTGAATAGTTTCACTGGATTTTAAAAAAATAAGAAAAATATAAAAAGTCGGATAAAAAGAGGTGTAAAAAAAAGAGAGAAAGAAAGCTCATATCAATTAAACTCTAGAAAGATGATAACATAAAGCGAAAAACAACTGCACCTTGGACAAACAACAGAAATTTTTATCTCACCATTTCAATAAAAAACCAAAATTTATACATTTAAGCTTAATTGGTGCCCAAATTATTTCTAATATGGTTAACTTTTTTGTTTTTAATCTAAGCCTTCATAGTCAAATATTACCTGTACGCTAATAGAGTAGTGCATATATAGAAGAAGTGATTGTTGTCAGTGCATCATGTGGCAGCACTGAATGATTACCACTCAAAATATCACTTTATTGATGACAATAATAACAAACATTTCAATGATTAGGTAAGGTAAGGCGTCAATTAGATACAATTCCTGTAATGAAAACATCAACAATTGCTGTGATCAAATCACTTGACTTTTTATAAACATTTTACAAAAAATAAACCTACTATTCCATATTAGTTTGTTTATTAGATTTATCACACACACACACACACACACACAGTGGGACAGTACTATTTAATGGATGACACAGTTTCAAATGAAACATCAATTATAATCACACGACTTCGAAACTTGAGTTTTATGGTTTTCTTTGTTCTCTCCTATTTGTTGTCGTTGGGGTAGTAGAATTTTCCAGATATCTCGCTGGACAAGTGTTGAATCATTCCTATTACACGTATTCCCTGTCAGTTGATTCGATAAACAAAGCCTCTGTTATCAATCTCTCACTCCACCCTGCTGTTACATTAGATTTCAAATCTGTCATCTCATCCCATCCTATCCTATGCTGCATGGTTGTGTGTAATTGCATGTAGTGAGTGGTATAGCTGAACTATTCTCCAGATATCTTATCTCATTCGGGTCAACTAATCTAGATTTTGCTGCCAACTTTTTATGTTCGGCTAGTTTGACTGACTGCACCTGTTCTACTACTTTGACCTTTAACTGACAAAGCTGGTTTCTAATTGAGTTTGTGGGGGGTTTGAATGTCAGCCACTTTTATTCCTTCCTTGTTAAGAATTCTGCGTAAGGTGGTTTCCGAGGTGCCTTCTTTGTATGGAATTGCTACTGATGATTTAGATTCCTTATTGTTTATGTTGTCGTGCGCATATTTGACACGTATGTCGTCATTATCATTATTATTATTGTTGTTATTATTATTATTATCACTATCACTACTATCATTATTTATTTTATTTTTACATCTCTCTACATACTTTTTGACTAATTTATCTGAATTCTTAACAAGGCAGGAATAAAATTGGCTGGCGTTCAAACCCACAAACTTAATTAGAAACCAGCTTTGTCAGTTAAAGGATCCTGCCTGTGGAGCCAATAAAACAAAACAATTTAGTTTATCTAATACCCTGCCTGCAATGATTGACAGGTTTGAAACTCAATAATTACCTTGATAAATTAATCAGAAAGTATGCGAGGAAATGTAAAAAAAAATAATGATAGTAGAGATTGTGATAATAATAGTAATAAAAATATTAATGACGACCTGCATGTCAAACATGCACAGGATAATGACAACACCAACAATAAGGAATCTAAATCATCAGAAGTACTTTCTCTCATACAACCTCGGAAACCACCTTACGCAGAATTCTTAACAAGGAAGGAATAAAAGTGGCTGACATTCAAACCCCCACAAACTCAATTAGAAACCAGCTTTGTCAGTTAAAGGATCAATCCTGCGAAGCCAATTAAACAAAACAATTTAGTTTATCTAATACGCTGTCTGCAATGATTGTCAGGTCAAATACATAGGTCAAAGTAGTAGAACAGGTACAGTCAGTCAAACTAGCCGAACATAAAAAGTTGGCAGCAAAATCTAGATTAGTTGACCCGAATGAGATAAGATATCTGGAGAATAGTTCAGCTATACCACTCACTACATGCAATTACACACAACCATACAGCATAGGATAGGATGGGATGAGATGACAGATTTGAAATCTAATGTAACAGCAGGGTGGAGTGAGAGATTGATAACAGAGGCTTTGTTTATCGAATCAACTGACAGGGAATACGTGTAATAGGAATGATTCAACACTTGTCCAGCGAGATATCTGGAAAATTCTACTACCCCAACGACGATAAATAGGAGAGATCAAAGAAAACTATCAAACTCACGTTTGGAAGTCGTGTGATTATTACTTGGTTAAAAAATTTCATCATGAGCTGACATTGGTTAGAGAAACATTGGAAAACCAGCCAGAAGTACTTGACATCAATTCGTTTCTTCCTATTCTTAGACTCATCAATAGCACGCGAACACTGTCAGGAGTCGAACGCAGAACCTTATGTGTACAAGGCGAGCTAGCTCGTAGACCATTATTTAAGCCACTGGGACCCAATCCAATCGCCAGCCTATGAATTCCAACTCTTACCAGTTTGGAGAGTATTTATCCTCATGCCAGACCTGCTGTACCATACTTTTCATGACTTCACACTAGAACCCTCCGAGGTAACTACCTACCTGAATGCAGCCAGTCGCCAGTGAGAATCTCATTGATATTGAAGTACTGCGTTTTTAGGGATTTGATTGGCTGAAGTTGTAATTCATGGGTTGGCCAT